TCAACTGGTTTGAAATTCCAATGTATATCACCTGAAGAAGGCCGGAGAATACAACAATGGAAATATCACAAATATGACAATAAAGTTGAGGAGAACAGTTCAAACAATGTAAATAGTGTAAATACTTTTATTTAATAGTGTGAAAACATCTTGATTATATGTGCTACTCAAATGATGTGATCTTTGTTATTTGGTAAAGTTCATTGTGACTTTGTATTGACAGCCTATAGCAGGAATTGGGCCCTTGGGCCATATCCGATCTGTGAAAGACATTTGTCCGGTCTGCCCACTTAACACCTGGACAATAATTATCTAGTTAATTTGTGGAGCAAGTGGTAGAAACAAAAAAAATAACAGTTGAAGTTAATTGACTTAAAATGTGATGAATTTTTTTAAATCAAAATTTAATTCCAAATCTACTGCTGACATCTACAAGAAAAAGGTTTTGTCAAGCGAAAAATATAAAAGCCTATTGAATAATGCAATAATGACAGTATCATTATCTGGAAGTATACATTTTTGCAAACAACTTTTTTTGAAAATGAAATATACTAAAAGTTGTTTAAGAATAAGGTGGGGTGATAACCACCTGAATGAGGTTTTGGTCCTGATATGGGGGTAGTTATTGAACGAGAAGCAAAAACAACCGTCTCATCAAGTAATTTTCCATTTCTAACTGTATTTCGGTTGTAGTAAGAAATTTTCATTTTTTTTTATTGCGTTAGTTGTTGACCTGTTATTCCTGCAGTAAAATAAGAAACTTTGTTTAAATTATATAACATTAACTTTGCTGTTTTTAAACCTCCAGATCAAGGCAGACTTCTGGATGGTGTGATCTGGAGTTGAAACAATTGATCATATTACATTTGATATCATGACCCCACTCCGAGATGCTGCATAGCTTTCTGGCCCGCTCTCTCCAAAAGTTGCTTTGTCTTCATGAAGACCTAAAGGATTCATTCACCATATATTCAAGTTTTATTACAGAAGTATGAAAATCCTTTGGTAAGTTAGTATTAACTTTTTATTCTCCCTGATGAGTTGTCTGATTTTAGGATTGAGGTTGTTTAAGTCTTGTGTAAATTTCAATTGTTTTGGATTTCATACACCATTGTCAAAGAAAGATTAAATTTGTTGCACTAAGATCTATCTTGCAAATTTAGAAAATGTAAGCGATCTGGAATTACAAAGGAAATGTTTGTTGCAGATTATTTCCACGTCATAGAGAATAAATCACTAAGTTCAGACTTGAACATTGGGGACAGAAAGAAAATGCTGGAAACTTGATTCGCAAGTACTATTTCACAAATCACAATGCACGCAACCAGTCAGAAAAATAACTCATTCTCCAACAAACACAGTAGCCAAAATACCCGAATTTTGCTCACCGATTCGAGAACACCAACTGCTTTTATCAGCCAAGCATTTTTTCCATTCGTCAAAAGCTGGGAGAGGATGTTCAGTATTTTGCATATCAAAATACTTTTATAGCAACTCCTGCGATGGACTTGTTTTTTTTTTAATTTAAATATTCCATTTTCAGCATGTCATGTGGAATACGTGCCCTTTTGTTTGGTAAGTAATTTTCTTTTTCACCACATTTTCTGTCGTAGAATACATGTGATGCACTGTTGCTTGGTTTGACGAGGTAAGTCACCGTTTTCTTTGCTATAGAAAAGTGCTATTTGTGCATGTATCAGATATTGTTAACACATTAGCAAATACATCAGTATTTAGAGATTCTTAAATAAAATCTAATGTATCAACAACATTATCAGTCCTGACCTGGCATTTCCTCACATTCTTACAGCTGTCCTTTTACCTAATCTATATTTTCACTGCAGTTGTTCTGATGAGCTTACCTTGACTTCACAAATTTAAGCACAGTACTAGATTGGCAGTTAGGTTTCATAATTTTATGACTGAAATTGCTACTTGTAACCATAAGTTCTATGTCAATTGTTTCTTCTCACACACTTCTCAGTATATATATATATATATATATATATATATATATATATATATATATATATACACACACACACACACGTTTTTCTTTTTTTTTTTTTCTATATCCCACACAGGTAAAAATATATGGAAAAAAGAAGTTGAAAATGCAACTGGAGTCTTTCAGAATATATATTTAGAGTAACTTTATCACCAGTTTCACAGTTCAATGATTTTCAAAAGTTAAATTGAGATGGAGGGACATGTGGCTATGCCAGGTTCAGTTTCACAAAGATGTAAACTAGGTATATTTATTTATTTACATTCCAAACTCTATGGAAGTTTTACAAAAAGTAGAAATGTTACATCAATTAATCATGCTAGACAATTTTTCTCGCCAGAATCTATCTTACACTTTTAAAAGTCTAATGTTTGTCCATGCATTGAATATTGCTGCCACATCTGCTTGGTGTTTTTGCTATGTATTTAGAGATTCTTGTCAAACACCAAAGGAGAATTTGCAATGTTAGCATCTCAGCTTCAGTCACATTCTCAATGTCATAATTTAGCTTTGCCTCATCTATGAATATTTTCACTGTAATTGTCCTGATGAGATTACCCTGATTCACCGAATTTTAGTACTGTACTAGATTGGTAGTTAGGTCTCATAATTTAACATTTCTCACTTGTGGAACTCACTTCCAGCTTTCCTGTCAACTACAATCTTCAAAATTTTAATTAAAACTAATTTAAATCCAATGTTAATCATCATCATGTTTCTCATTGAATTCTGTTCTTTTATTGTCCTCTCCGTTTTTTTGTTGTTGTTTTTTTTTTACACTCAGTAACTCGTTTGAATTCTGGTGACTTTATTGCTTTTCTTGGGTTGAAATGATAAAAAAATAAAATCCAATAAGAGTTTTAGATTTATTTTATGCTTTATGTTACATGTGTTTTAAATATGCTTCCATCATGTGTTTGCATTGTGTGTGTGTGTGTGTGTGTATATATATATATATATATATATATATATTTTTTTTTTTTTTTTTTTCCTTACTGGTAGCACAACTTGGAGTTTTGGACATAATGCAATCTTCAGGCAAGGAAAAAAATGTATATTTATTAATTTTAAGTTTATAGCATTGTTATATTGCATCAAGCACTATTTTATTAACACCAGCACTCAATGTACAATATTATATATATATATATATATATATATATATATAAAAAAGAAAGTAAGTTTTTTTTTGGTTTTTTTTTTATATATCCCACACCCAGGTAAAAATATATAGGAAAAATAAGTTGAAAATGCAACTGGAGTCTTTAAGGATATTTATTTAGAGTAACTTTACTGGTTTCACAGTTATATGATTTTCAAAACTTAAATTGAGATGGAGAGACATGCGGCTATGTTCAGTTTCACACACACACACATATATATATATATATATATATATATATATATATATATATATATATATAGATAGATAGATAATCACAACAAAAGGAACAGCCCAAGATGTATCCTAAAAACTGGAGATGCCAAAATTGAGCAAGTACAGAAATTTTAATATCTGGGAAGTCTTTGAATGAAGAACAGAAAATATAGTACCAAAATCAGAAGGTGCATTATTGGAATTGCAAAAGATACCTTCTGTTGTAACCTAGAAAGTGTTACTGAATGAGGAATAACCAAAACAGAGGTTGGAAATGAAATGATAATCTTTATAACATCAATAAAATACAATACTTACCAGCGGCATGAAGTAGGTAAACCACTTCTAGTGGTGGACAACTTAGAAAGCATATTATCCCCACTTACAATAGTGTCCAACATATTTATGAGGATTGGGACATGCCCATTAGTGTTTATATGTACGGTATATAATACCTTCCAAAAGCTAAGCAAAGTATTAAGAAACAGGAAAATATAGTTATAAACTAAGTAAACAGTGCTGAGTTGCTATGTAATATCAGTCCTTCCCTATGGCAGTAAATATTGGACAATTTTCTCATGGGTTAAGAAGAGATTTGGGACAAAAGAAATATGGTTCTATAGAAAAGTTGCTAAAAATATACTGGTTTGAATATGTGATGAGGAAGTTTTAAGGAAAATATAAAGCAAAAATGACGTTTATACAGGTTGAGTATCCTTTATTTGAAATTCTAAAATCCAAAAGTTTTCCAGGTGCTGACATGACTTGTCACAATTGGAAAATTTCAGAAAGCCCACCTACAGAGCTTATGTTGATGTCAGTTTTTTGTTAGCAATTGTCACAGCAACACATTCATTTGAGGATTACTTACCAGGTGTTTCATGTTCAGTAAAGATATTATTCAAAATGTTAACAGGTCCTGCATTTACATATTTTTTGTAATTAGTGATCATGTTTTTTTTGGACATGTACAGAAAGTACAAAACATTATTTTTATTTAAAATTTTAATTTCCGTACTTAAAAATCCGTGTGAGCATTACACAACTAGAGTCCATTACCTGTAGCTGTATGTACACAAAATTTATTAGATTTTATATAAAACTATCTTCCTGGTATGTTATTTATATAAAACTACCTTCAGGATATATGTATAAGCTGTGTTATGAAATGTAAAGGGATATTGTGTTTATACTTGGGTTCCAATCCCAAGTTGCCTCATTTTATAGATGCTATTTACAAATTAAATAGTCTATTCCAAAATCTGAAAAAAATCTGAAATCTTGTCCCAAGGATTTTGGATAAAAGATTCTCAATCTGTACTTTTAATCAGAAAGAGACAGTTAATAGTTGTAGGAAACATAATGAGGAAAGAGATCTTGGAGAATCTGTCACTCACAACACATAATAAAAGCAAGAGGGTCAAAGAGAAGCAGCAAATGACCAACTTTGCTTGCATAAATGGATGGCTGAATAGGGAAGGAAAAGAATAGTAAAAAGGCAAACATTGCTAAGTGCTACAAACAATAAGATGCTGTGGAGAGTCATGATCACATCCCCATCCCTTACAAACTTTGATGAGGAGTGTTTTTCCCATTTGCCTCTTCCAAACTTTGATGAGGAGTGTTTTTCTTTCTTTCTGTTCCTCACTCTCGACCAACTGCTTTCTTTCTTTCTTTATGTTCCTCACTCTCGACCAACTGCTTTCTTTCTTTCTTTATGTTCCTCACTCTCTACCAACTGCTTTCTTTCTTTCTGTTCCTCACTCTCTACCAACTGCTTTCTTTCTTTCTTTCTGTTCCTCACTCTCTACCAACTGCTTTCTTTCTTTCTGTTCCTCTCTACCAACTGCTTTCTTTCTTTCTTTCTGTTCCTCACTCTCTACCAACTGCTTTCTTTCTTTCTGTTCCTCACTCTCTACCAACTGCTTTCTTTTCTTTCTTTCTGTTTCTGCTTTTTTTCTTTCTTTCTGTTCCTCCTCTCGACCAACTCTTTCTTTCTGTTCCTCCTCTCTACCAACTGCTTTCTTTCTTTCTTTCTTTTCCTTCATCCTGCCAACTGCTTTCTTTCTTTCTTTCTGTTCCTCACTCTCTACCAACTGCTTTCTTTCTTTCTTTCTGTTCCTCACTCTCTACCAACTGCTTTCTTTCTTTCTGTTTCCTCCTCTCGACCAACTCTTTCTTTCTGTTCCTCCTCTCGACCAACTGCTTTCTTTCTGTTCCTCTTCTCTCCTTTTCTTTCTTTCTGTTCCTCACCTCGACCAACTGCTTTCTTTCTTTCTGCTCCCTCCTCTCATATTTCCTTTTCTGCTCTCCTCTCCACCAACTGCTTTCTTTCTTTCTGTTTCCTCACTCCTCTACCAACTTTTCTTTCTTTCTTTATGTTCCTCCTCTCTACCAACTCTTTCTTTCTTTTTATGTTCCTCACTCTCCTACCAACTGCTTTCTTTTTTTTATCCTTCTCCTCCTTCTTTCTTTCATATTTCCTCACTCCTCTTTCTTTCTTTCATGTTCCTCCTCTCGACCAACTGCTTTCTCTTTCTTTTCTGTCCTCACCACCCTCTTTCTTTCTTTCTTTCTTTATGTTCCTCACTCTCTACCAACTGCTTTCTTTCTTTCTTTATGTTCCTCACTCTCTACCAACTGCTTTCTTTCTTTCTTTATGTTCCTCACTCTCTACCAACTGCTTTCTTTCTTTATGTTCCTCACTCTCTACCAACTGCTTTCTTTCTTTATGTTCCTCACTCTCTACCAACTGCTTTCTTTCTTTCTGTTTCCTCACTCCTCTTCCAACTTACTTTCTTTCTTTATGTTCCTCCTCTCTTTTCTTTCTTTCTTTATGTTCCTCACTCTCTACCAACTTTCTTTCTTTCTTTCCTCACTTCTATGTTCTCCTTTCTTTCTTTCCCTCACTCTCGACCAACTGCTTTCTTTCTTTCTGTTCCTCCTCTCTACCAACTTTTCTTTCTTTCTCTTCCTCCAAACTGCTTTCTTTCTTCTTTTCCTCCTCTCTACCAACTTTTCTTTCTTTATGTTCTTTCTTTCATGTTCCTCACTCTCTACCAACTGCTTTCTTTCTTTATGTTTCATTTTCTTTTCTTTTCATGTTCCTCACTCTCGACCAACTTTTCCTCCTTACTCTTCCATTCTCTTCTGTTTCTTTTCTCACCCTCTTCGTCTTTATCCTCTTCAACTTTTCATTTCCTCCTCTTTTTCAACTCTTTCTTTATGTTCCTCTCTTTCGACCAACTGCTTTTCTGCTTCCTCTTTTCTTTTTCTTTCTTTCTGTTCCTCACTCTCGACCAACTAACCTGTTCCTCCTTTTTTTCTTTCTTTCTGTTCCACTTTTTTCACTTTTCCTCCTCTCTCTACCAACTGCTTTCATCATCTTTATGTTTCTCTCCTACCAACCCTTTTCTTTATTTTCCCTCCTCTCTCTCAACTTTTTCCTTCTTTCTGTTCCTCCTCTCCTCCACCTTTCTTTCTTTCCTCTCGACCAACTGCTTTCTTTCTTTATGTCCTCACTACCAACTTCTTTCTTTCTTTATGTTTCCTCACTCTCGACCAACTGCTTTCTTTCTTTATGTTACTTTCTTTCTTTATTTCCTCCTCTCGACCAACTGCTTTCTTTCTTTATGTTTCCTCCTCTCTCCTCCAACTGCTTTCTTTCTTTCTTTATGTTCCCCTCCTCTCGGCCAACTGCTTTCTTTCTTTCTTTATGTTTCCTTTATGTTTCTTTCTTTCTGTTCCTCACCAACTTTTCTTTCTTTCTTTCTCTCGACCAACTGCTTTCTTTCTTTCTGTTTCCTCCTCTCGATGTTCCTCACTCTCCTCCAACTGCTTTCTTTCTTTATCCCCTTATGTTTCCTTTATGTTTCTCCTCTACCAACTTTTCTTTCTTTCTGTTTCTCACTCGACCAACTGCTTTCTTTCTTTCTTTATGTTTCCTCCTCTCTGGAACTACTTTCTTTCTTTCTTTATGTTCCTCCTCTTTCGACCAACTGCTTTTCTTTCTTTCTTTCCTGTTCCTTTCTTTCTTTCGACCTCCTCTCTAACTGCTTTCTTTCTTTCTTTATGTTCCTCACTCTCTACCAACTGCTTTCTTTTCTTTCTGTTCTCACTCTCTACCAACTGCTTTCTTTCTTTTTATGTTCCTCACTCTCGAAACTTAACTTTCTTTATGTTCCTCAACTCGACCAACTGCTTTCTCTTTATTCTGTTTCTTTCTTTCTGTTCCTCAACCAACTGCTTTCTTTCTTTCTGTTCCTTTCTTTTTCTCGACCAACTGCTTTTCTTTCTTTATTTCAAATGTTCCTTTTCACTTCTCTCCAACTGCTTTCTTTCCTCCTTTGCTTTTCTTTTGTTCCTCACTCTCTACCAACTTTCTTTCTTTCTTTCTGTTTCCTTTCACTCCTCTCTCACCAACTTTCTTTTCTGTTCCTCCTCTTTTCTTTCTGTTTTATGTTCCTCACTCTCGACCAACTGCTTTCTTTCTTTATGTTCCTCACTCTCGACCAACTGCTTTCTTTCTTTCTGTTCCTCACTCTCGACCAACTGCTTTCTTCCTGCTCTCCCCTCTCTACCAACTACTTTCTTTCTGTTCCCCTCTCTCTACCAACTACTTTCTTTCTTTATGTTCCTCAGGTCTACCAACTCTCTACCTCCTCTCTACCTGCTTTCATTCTTTTTTTCTGCTCTCTACCAACCTTTCTTTCTTTCTATCAACTTTTTCCTTCTTCATATTCTTTATCATTCACTCACTCTCCTTCTTTCTGTCTATAACCTTGTCTGTGTTTTATTTATATCCAATATATATATTTATATATTATATCCAATATCCCTGAATTGGTCTCTGAGAAACATATACCTGACTGATGAAGCTCATTCTCAAGTATTAAGTCAATGTGAAATTCATATAGAATTTCAACTTAATTTCCTTAGTGTCAACAGATCCAAACAAGTGTAACTTCAGTTAGAAAAGAAACAAATAAAAATAAAGATTACCATAAATATGAGATTGATGCATAGCATCCAAAAGCCGAGGAAGTTTAATTGGAGCATCTTTTATAGCATGCTAATATGAGCTGGCCATTTCTTCAAGTAATCATGGTTGGCCATTTCTTCAAGTAATCAACTTGGATGGGAAACTAAGTAATTTATACAACTCAGATCACACACACACACACACACACACACACACACACACACACACCTCCCTTCCTTCTTTGGGCCCAATGCCCATTGATATCAACAGCATTCTGGATAATCTAGGTGGATTATCCATAATTGTTGAAATCTATCATGTTTTTGTTTTACAGATATAGTATTGGACACAAGATCTAACCATGTTTGTACAGTTTCCAGTGGATGAGTTTTGAATTCAGTGTTGTCCTTCTCCTAGACTGGTTGCCAACAGCAGCTAGAAAGTCCAGTCTGCCCTTCTATTTAACCTATAGCTGCAGGGGAGGAAAAATAATTTCCTACCTTTCACAAGAACATTTGTGCAAAAGTGACTATAACGAAATTGATCAGAATTCGAACTCGGATTGCCGATTTCTTGTTCCAAGATGCTAACTATTACAACCACCTGCAAATGCAACTCAGATTAGGATATATTAAATTAATACTTAAAGAAAATAATATTAAAATAGATGCACCTTAATAAAAGTTTTAGTCTAATTTTTATTTGAATTTAACTTAAAACTTGAATTTTCCTTAAGCCCTAAATAATATCATTACAGTAAGTCATACATAAGGTGGCATCAGTCAGTTCCTAGTTGCATATCATATTATATTGTTGTGCATTCACTCTCTTTAATTTGTGTTGTGTTTGTGGAAACTGATTGCTCTTCATTATGGTTCCCAAGTATTGTGTAACCATTTGGGGATGATAGTGCTTTGAAGAAATGGAAAGCCATCACTATTGAAATGAAAATAGACATTGTTAAGTACTCTGAAAAGGGAGAAACAGGGATGAACTTTGGCAGGTTGCTTGGCTGAATGTTCTACTCTCACTTAAAACATGTACATATGTGTATACATATTGAGTTTCTTTGTAAGAAATAAGTTTTCTTGTTAAACTATAAGTTGGTGAATTCTTAATAAAAAAGAAAAACAAACTCAGGTTTTCTTCCGTACATTTGCTGCTGCCTTCAAGTACTGCAAGAGATCTTACACTTCATCATTCCATCTTGAGGAGTTAGAAGTCATTGTCAAAATGCAAGATAAATAACATGAACAGAATAAATAAATTTTGCAATGAAAAGAAAAGAGGTCAAAAAGGATGAAACAGCAACAATCATACAAGCAAGCAAACAATATAGTTAAAGCAAATCAAACAGGAAAGAAGGCAAAAGAATTCACAAACTATGAGTTGCTGCTTGTACACAAAAGCAAGATCGGACAAGCAAATGTAATATGTCTGTCTAGTAGTTAAAACAGATCTGGACTGAGGTTATTTACCTCACGCCCAACAAGACAGGATGTGGTACAAGGCCGTTTTTTATGTGGGGAGATCCAAGCCTGTAGATTTAGGCAAAAATTCCCCATAGATCACACATACATGGGTGTTGAAAAGTCAGCCCGAACCGCCTGAAATGGCAGATCTGGACTGAGTCATGTCAAAACGCAAACCATCCCATTTTATTGGCTAAGAAAAATATCCCAGCATGCACTTTGTGTATTTCTGACTATATGAGAGGGAGGGAGAAAAAATTTTCAATCATTCCCACTGCGTTAGGAAATCAACACATCTACCAAGAACCAATGACATTGCTGGTAATAAATATACAAGCAGCTTAAAACAATTTCATTTCATTATATGCATTATTTTCATTTCATTTCCTTTTATCTATATATGTAAAACAGAAGATGTCTGTGTGTCTGTCTAATACCTTTTCACTCAAGATCCATCAAACCGATTTTGACCAAACTTGACACATACATTGTACAATGTAAGTGAAAGGCTCTTAGCATAAAAAATTGATAATTTAAAAAAATCAATAATCGATAAAGCCAATCAAACTTCAATATATTCAACTTTTTTCCTCCAATTTCATTCAAACTCAATATGTAGGTTACTTACATCATGACGAGTTGAACAATACCTCATTTTTATTTCTACGCCACTGTGTTTAGTGAAAAACTATAAAAAATGAAAAACTGATTTCAACACAAATCAATTTGAACACAAATCATAAACTAAAAACACCCTCAATTTTCAAGCAATCCAATACAAATTTCACTCAATTGTAGCCAACAATAAGTTGATTGTCTAACAGTCATTTAACTTGTTAACTGAGTCCACCCATATAGTGAAAACCTGCATAAATAGTGAAAAATGGTGATTTTCACTGTTTTCTTTCTTATTTTTTGTTGATCTTTCAACCAATTTTCATCAGACTTAACAACTGCTTTATAAATGTACCCTCTTTTACATCCCTGGTATCACACTGACAAACTGAATTTCAAAAATTCCAAAATAATGATGGTCTAAAGTGGGTCTTCATTTTTTTTAACTCTTCATGTCCTCAGCTAACTTTGATTGAATAAATACAGACAACTTTTGTTATATCAGTAAGCACATTAATTCAAAAGGTTTTTTAATGAAAGTACTTTAAAGTAATTGAAGACAGACAGACTCTGTTACATTTAAACATGATGCTGTTTTTGCTCCATTCAAATTGAACACTTTTTCTGATTGACCATCTAGGTATGACTGCTAGTGTATTATATTTATGTTCTCCAGATGCTTTTTTTTTTTACTCCTAATTGTATTAGCGTATGTCATAGAAATGTGTTGTTATGTTCTAGATTATTATTTTACTATTATGTTAGCATGGGTGAGTGGCGTAAATGCTTATTCATGACTTACATGGAAAATCATGTTACGATGCATCATAAGAACAAGCTTGTCTAAACTATAATTTGAATTATATGTATTCCCTATTTTCTTTAGATATATACAATTTAATTTCCTTGTTATAAATCTTATTTTCCGTCATGAAATCAATACATTTTACATTTATTTAAATACTTTCCTATTTAGAAATCTCACTGATAGTTCAGAAATATTTATTTAAAAAAAAAATTTAAATATCTAGGAAGTGTTGGTTTAATAGAGAAGGAAACTGAGACCAAAACCTGAAGTTGCCATCCAAAAGTTAAGCATCATGAAAAATGAAAAGAATACTGAACAATTATATAATATCAGCTCTCCTTTATGGTAGCAAATAACTGGACAGTCTCTAGTCTCTTCTTCATCTATGAGGAGATTTGCTGCCACAGAGGCAACAGAAATGCGATTTTACAAAAGGATGCTGAGAATACGATGAACTGAAGACGAGAAAGTTCTGGGGTAAAATGGAAACAAAAAGAGTACTTGCCCTAAAAATCAGAAAGAGAGAGTTGAGATTTCTAGGGCACATAATGAGGAAAGAGAGTTTGGAAAATCTGATACCCACAGGACATACTGAAGGCAAGAGATGGTGGAAAACAGTAAATAACCTACATGGTGAGCTTGTGTAAATGGTTGGCAAAAGAGGATTTAGGAGAGAAAGCAAAAGGACAAATTTAGAGTTACAAAGGACAGGAAGTTGTGGAGAGCCACGATCGCCTACATGCTGAAGGAACACAGCACATAGAAGAACTGTTAAATTTTCTAATTGACCACAGTATGGTAGGGTTAGTTGGGCATTGTCTGCGAGAAAAACAGCACCATGATGCAATCCACTCCACCAGATATTTGGAATCGGGATGTTGTACTGCTTGGCATTCATGCCAGAAGCTCAAATGTGAACATTTTAGAGTTTTTGGGTGTCAGAAAGAGTTGGATGAGTCTAATGGTGATTATGAAGGTGTTTGGAGTGATTACTAGTGATGGTGAGGTTATGCCTCCATTTATCTTCCAATAGGGCCTCAAACTCAATATAAAGACCTACATCAAGTGCCTTCAGGAGGTAGTGCTGCCCTGGGTGGCTGCTGGAAGACTGTGTCTGGCCACAGGACTCTGCACCATGCCACACAAGCAGGAGAACCCAGTCACGGATTTCAGATAATTTCTGCGATCACGCCTTGCATCTGACCACCTAACCTCCCAGATTGCAACCCCCTTGATTATTATGTGCGGATCACAGTTGAGCAAGAGACCAACAAAATTCCTTGTAACACCAAAAATGAACTGAAAGAAAGGGTTATGGCAGCATTCACCAACTTAAACAAGGAGATCATACAGAAGAGTTGCAGGAGATTCCAAAGTTGTCTGGAAGCCGTGGTTGAAGCTAATGGCAATTTTATTGAATAAATGTACTCTTTCATATTTCAAGATATTTTTGTGTAATTTTGGTTAATATATCTGTTACAATAAGACGTCAGTGTTATTTTCATTTTTGTCTAATTTCGATGACAATTTATCCGTTGCAACCTGTATATATGTAGGTAAATCAATAGGTTTAGAGCTGAATAATGAAACATTATCAGAAGGCAGATGATTGGAAAATATTCAGTGGAAATCCATTTCTATCTAAAAATAAACAGTTAACAAGATTTCAATAAACCAATAATACTGATTTAATTTTGATATTTGTAGGCTGATCGGTCATTAAAAGTGTGTCGATATATGTGAATGTGGACTTATAAGAACAGGAAAATCATCATAAAAAAGACATTTTACTTCTTTACTTATCTTTTCATATATATATATATATATATATATATATATATATATGTGTGTATGTGTGTGTGTGGGGGGGGGTATATACACTACAGTTCAAAAGTTTGAGGCA